CAGTTTGGAAAAAAAAAAAAAAAAAAAAAAAGGTGAAAAGACAACCCACAGACTGGGAGAAAATATTTGCAAATCACATCTGAGAAGGATTTGTATCCAGAATATATAAAGAACTCTCACAACTCAACAATAAGAAGACAGATAATACATTTTAAAAATGGGCAAAGGATTTGAATAGACATTTCTGTAAAAGATAGACAAAAGGTCAATAAGCACATGAAAAGATGCTCATCATTAGTCACTAGGGAAAGGCAAATCAAAACCACGGTAAAGGGCTTCCCTGATGGCGCAGTGGTTGAGAGTCCGCCTGCTGATGCAGGAGACACGGGTTCGTGCCCCGGTCCGGGAAGATTCCACATGCCGCGGAGCGGCTGGGCCCGTGAGCCATGGCTGCTGGGCCTGTGCGTCCGGAGCCTGTGCTCCGCAGCGGGAGAGGCCACAGTGGTGAGGGGCCCGCGTACCACAAAAAAAAAAAAAACACGGTAAGATACCTAACACTTCACACCCACTAGAATGGCTAAAATCAATGACAATAACGAGTGTTGACAAAGATGTGGAGAAACTGGAACCATTATACATTGTTAATAGGATTTTTTAAATGGTGCAGCTACACTGGTAAAGAGTTTGGCATTTCCTCACAAGGTTAAAATTATCATATGACTCAGCAATTCCACTCCTAGGTGTATATCCAAGAGAAATGAAAACATATCTACACAAAAACTTGTACATGCATGCTCACAGTTATTCATAACAGCCAAAAGGTGGAAACAACCCAAATGCCCATCAACTGATGAATGGATAAATAAAATGTGGTATATCCATACAATGGGAATATTATTAGGCTATAAAAAGGCTGAATGCTACAGCATGGATGAATCTTGAAAACCCTATGCTAAGTGAAAGAAGGCAGTCATAAAAGACAACATATTGTGTGATTCCACTTATATGAAATGTCCAAATAGGCAAATCTATGGAGATAGAAAGTAGATTAGCTATTGTCTAGGGCTGGGGAAGTGGCTTGCCTGGGGATGGGGGCGGGTAGTGACGAGTGACTGTTAATACTTAAGTAGTGGGCTTCTCTTTGCGGTGATGAATTAGTGTTCTGGAATTAGTGGTAATGGTTGCATAATCTTGTGAATATACTAAACACCACTGAATTGTACAGTTTAAAAGGGTGAAGTGTATGGTATGTAAATTATATCTCAATTAGGTTGTTATAAAAAAGTTAACTGCTACCTGCCTTTGGAATACCTTCCCTTTTATAAAAGAAAGAGTAACAGTTATCTGTATTTGGCCTTTTGTCTGGTTAGAAGGGGCTCCCTCTGAAAGATCAGTCAGCCTGGAGCCACAGGCCGTTCTGACTTTTTCCCCATTTTGGCCACACCATTCCCCAAAGCCAGGGCAAGATGGGGAAAAAAAAAAATTCTAAGCCACTTGCTGGAAGGCAGAAAATGTCACCTAATGCTAGAGATTCTGAAACAGCAAGAAACGCTTCTGAACAATCACTTTAAAAAGCAAGTGAGAATTATTTTTAAACAATTAGGCCTGGGAACCCAAGTTCTCAGTGGCAATCCCCACTGAGGAGAGAAATACGGGAGAATTACAGATGCAACGTGTGTTCACAAGATCTGCAGACCTGCCCGTCCCCCGGCTCCTTGGCAAAAGCCCTGGCGAAACTTCAGTCTTGGAACTTGAGCTAACATTGACTTCTCCTCCAAGGAGTAGAATGACATAACCACAAAATACACCATTTTAAGGCATTTCACTTCTCCTGGCTTTGCTCACTCCATTCTCTTTAACCACTGAAAGTGACCTTAGAGACCCTTCAGTCCTGAGGGCTGGGTTAAAGGTGAGGGCAGGCTGAGTCAGGGCTCAGTGGAGAAGCATTACAGTCATCAGTTAGTGATGTCTGACATGGACAAGGAATGAGTGGTCCCTGAGGGTGCACTAGTGCCATGATTGATCATCCGAAACCCCCTCATTTTACAGTTGAGAAAATTGAGGTTCACAAAGATTAAGTGATTTACTTAAGGTCCCACACAAGCCATTGTGAGAGCTGGGACTGCTATTCAGGTCTTCAGTGCTCCAGGTTACAGGAATTTACTCTGGTCTCCCAACCAGAAGGGTGAGACAATAAGACACAGTAACAGTTTGTGTTACTAGAAGTCGTCCACCAGGTGTCCAGAGGGTCCCCGAAGGTCCCCCAACCTTAAATTCAGAATACGGACCAAAGGAAGGAGCAATAGAAACAACCATTTCCCAGTGCTGCCTTCATATTATCATGTACAGAGTTGACATTGTACCCAAACATTTATTTTTTTTCCTACCAACCTTTCCCCAGGAATGACCCCAGGTTTACAACCTGAGATGACAGTGGGGGGCATGAACATTGTCCAGAGTTAAGTGACAGGAGAAAGACAATATTTTCCCCCCAGACAACTTCCGACTTGAAAAACAAAGAACAAAAATACAAAGGTATAGTACAGGGATCTCTACTCCATGATCTGTGGTGACCTAAATGGGAAGGAAATCTAAAAAAGAGTGGATACGTGTATACCTATAGCTGATTCACTTCGCTGTACAGCAGAAACTAACACAACATTGTAAAGCAACTATACTCCAATAAAGATTAATAAAAATACTAAAAGTTTAAAAAATAAAAAATAAAATAAATAAAAACCCAAAAATACACCAAGCGAGGCAAGCCCCCTGGCACTGTACACAAAGGTGAACTTGGCCTGGGCATCAAAATAACTGGGCATGGCAGCAGAGGAAGCCTCCCTGTGAGGTAAGCTGCAGCCAGTTCATTCCAGTACAAAGATTTCAGCTCAGGGTTCTGATGTCCCGAGGCCCTTGATATTCACAGTGCGGTAAACACTGCACACAGCTGGGGAAAAGGGCGTACACAATCACCTTTAACTTTCAGGGTCGGCCAGTTGGAGACCGTGTGTCCGCTTCTGCTCCTCACAGCACAGTGACCACTAAGTATATGCCTGGAGGGGCCAGCAGGTCATGTCCATGGCTGTAGTGGGCCAGGGGTAAGTACTGCAGCAGGGAGAGGGGGAACCAATTTGCAGTCACCTGCCCTAGATGAAAATGGGTAACCACTGCTCAATTCCACGTGGGAAAGCAGGCCATGTGCTGCCAGATCCTCAGAGTTTTCCATTTAAACGAGAAATCTAGCTCATGAGAAATTTTACTATTTTTAAATAATTGCTAAAAACAAAGCAAAATAAAAACATGGGAGAGCCTCACAATTAGGAAGTTTTGGCACTTGCTGCTAGGAAGCTCAGGGTAGGGCGGGCAATTCCTCTAGAACCTACAAGAGATCAGCTGGGTGTGCTGGACTGGGTAACCCTGAAAATAGGACTCTGCAAGTATTCTGGCAAACTGCATCTCCTTTCCCTCAACCCGAGTCCTCTCACATGCATTCGCTGGTGAATTAAATTCAAAAGTAATTTTTCAATCTTTTAAAAATTCTATATGTTTTTGTAAGCAACCCTCTATTCTTTATTGTTACAAGGCAGAGCAGAGATGAACCGTTTAAGACCTTTCGCCAATCATGTCCAGTGTAAGAGGCGATGTCAAGTGTAGGGGAAGTTTCCTGTAAGTCTGAAATTATTTCAAAGTGAAAGTTTTGTTTTGCTTAGTTACTTAAGTGAAGGAGAAAAGCACAACTCTGCGACAGTCCACACAGGTCGGCTTGCAGGAGTGTGTAGGGAAATCCACAGGTTACAGGTGCAAGTTCAACCTTGGGCACAGGGAGGAGAGGAAAATAAAGGAGCCTCGAGACTGAGAACCATCGCAGCACGTAAAACCAGAACGCGAATTTACACCCGACGCTTAAAAAAAATAAAAATAAATATTTTACGCCTCTTCAATTTTCCCATCTTCAAAACTCCCATCTTCGATTTCCCCAATTTTCCCATCACCTCTCCGCAGGCCCCTCGAGCCTCGCCGGCTGCCCACTCCAAGGGTGGGGATGTCTCGCCTTCTATCAAGCGTCCGGGAAAATTCCTTCCTGCAAAAAAGCCAAGCTGCAAGCAGGAAACTCAAGATCCTCCCGGGGCGACTTCGGGGCCGCGGCACAACTGGATCCGGCAGAGTCGGAGGGAACTCGGTCCCCGGCTCTCCCTCCCCACCGTTGACTGGCAAAACTCAACTTTTCCCTCCAGATCGCAGCCCCTTACCTGCGGCGACCCAGCGGGCCAGTAGCGCCCCGAGGCAGACAAGGACCCGGGGCTCGGACGCCCGGACGCCTGCGGCCATCTCGCCCCAGATGTGGGCAGGGGCCCCTCGGGAAACGCAGGCTCCGGCTTGGCTGGGTGTGCGCCCCCAAGGACTCCGGCTCCTGGGGTGGTACTGAGTGCTCCTCCCAGGTCCTCGGAACGACAGAGTAACTCCACTTTCCGCAACCCCCAGGAAGGATGCTTGGGGTGAGCCCGATGTCAGGGTCTGGGAGCTGCGCTGGGCTCCGAGCGCGATTCTGTCTCCCGAGCGCCCGGGGTGGGAGGGCGCACCCCGCCCCCTGCGCCCGCCACCCACTCCCGCTGGCGGAAAACAACAGGAGCTGGGCTCCCTCCCGCCCATCCAGGCGGGAGCCCAGCTTCCTCTACCTTGGCCCGGGAGGAGGGCTTTACGCAAAGGGCGCACGCCGGGGCGCGCCGAGCCGGGTCGGGGCAGGCCTGGGGAGGGGCACAGAAGCTGGTCCCTCCCCGAGCCCACTCAGCCGGGCTGGGCCGGGCAAAGGCCTGCGGCTGCTGCAGGACGGCACCCTCGCCCCGGCCCGCCGGCTGCTACCTCCCGGGCGCTCCGTACGCGGCACCCGGAGGAGCGTCGCGAGCCGGAGGGGTCGGCTACCAAGGGGCAGAATTCAGGGTCCCCTCGGCTTAGCTGTTCTAGGGATTCTTAGTTGTTTTCCTGTGCCCCGGGCGGACGGCAGGGCCGCCATCGCTGCCTTTCTCTACCCTTTGCAGAAGGAAGGCAAGTCTAGAGCAGGAGAAAGATGATCCCTTAGACCTTCCAGCCAAGAGCAGCCACGAGACTCTGGGCCTCCGGTTAACTGGCTGAGACCACACAGTAAGAGCCAGGGCAGCGGAACTGGGTTCCGGGAGCTTTTTTGTTTTTCCTTTTTAGTTCCCCCAGCCCCATCCAGTCTGGTTCCCAGAGAACTACATTCCCAGCCTAAAATCCCCCTCTTCCTGCCACACCCCCATCCCAGCCTCCTGTCCTAGGGAAAACACGGTTATATATTATACTCAGGAAGAGCTGATCCTTGAAACAGCGCTACCAGAAACTTCCTCTTGAAAAAAACAAAACTGCAGCTAATAGAGTGAAATATTAACTGTAGACTCTAGGAAGTGGATATGGGAGTGTTCCCCTTCTTTGGATTTTTCTATGTTTGAACATTTCCCCCTCATCTCATCATAAAATGTTGGGGGAAAAACAAACAATGCTATTAAGAAAATCATTCCGTTACCCAAAGGCCCCTTACTGAGATACGCTTTCCATGAGGAAATCCTCTTGAAACCACTAAAAGTGTGTGTTTCACCCACGAACTGAGCCATGTTGCTGCACAGTTCCTTTTTCTCCTCTTCCGCTCGATGATTTTACCTCTTCAGCCACAGCTCCTCAAAGTTTTCCTCCTTCCTCTCCCCTTGTTTCTGTTTTTCATCTTTTACTTGGTGATGGAAAGTAAAGTATGTCCAGGACGCACTGTCCTGTCTTCCCCGTGCCCGGCACCTCGGTTACCACCCAATATATATTTGTTAAATAGACAAATGAAAGTTGATTGGTTTTGATATTGAAGCTGCTCAAGCTTTCCTGACAAACACCTCACATCCTCACCTGAAGTTAACAAGATATAAAAAAAATTGCTAAGTGGCAAGTTTTCAGCTGAGGGTCTGGAATGTTCTGTGACCCTAGTGGTGCCTCACAGGGGGACTTGCTCAGAGCACACCCTCCTGGTATATTTGCTGAATCAAATGGACAGTCTCTTGACCAGTTCTCCACTCCTACAAGGATCAACCTCCCACAGGATATTTTACAACAGTGATTATAGCACCTCACATTTGCACAGCTGGGGCCTTTTTCTAAAGCGGTTTTAGAAACTTAATCTCACTGGGCCCTCCCTTCAACCCTTGGACCTAAAGAATCATTCAATCCCATTTTACAAGTGAGAAACCCACAGCTAGGAAGTTAAGCTCCAGGTCACAAAGCCGGTTGGTGGTAAAGCCAGGTCTGGAACCCATGTCTGTCTGACTCCAATTCCTGCCAAACCAAGTTCCAATCTTGTCACTTACACAAAGGCTGCCATGGTCTTGTCTACTTGAAAGAAAAATGTGCAATGTAAAAGTTGTGAGTTAAGTTGTATTTCGAGACCTTACTGAGGACCACAGCCCCAGAGACAGTCTCTCAGGTAGCTCTGAGGAACCACTCAAAGAGGTAAGGTACAATCCAGGATGTAGATGATCTTTTTTGCTGGGAAAAACATGTAGTCAAGCATCAAAAGATTACTGATAACAACAAAGAACAGACATCTTAAGTTAATGATTTTAGCATTTTTCTATGTATGGAAAGATGCAAGAATTTGGGGTCATTTGAGATTTTTCCTTAGATATGCATCTTAACCATTTAGGGGCCTGTATATCCAAAGCACAGAATGTTTCCTGTTTTTCTCCATCCTGAATTCCCCAGAGGTTGCACTGTTGTGGGCCACTGCAGTGGCTAGCGGCTTGATCCTTGTAGAACTGGAATGGCAGGCAATATTTTTTTCTTTATAGCCTGGATGTTTTGGATGTCACCAGACCAGCAGACATGGGCATTTCCCTGAGCAGGGCTCAAAGGAAGCCTCCAGACCACTCAGTGTGGGACAGAGCTGGCCCAGGAAGCACCCACTCTCTCTGGTTTGGGGAAGGCTGTTGCTGACTCTGAGACAGGACTTGTTAGGAAGTGCCCTGCCCTAAAATCAGGCCACTCTGGACAGTGGAAAATGCCCTACCTAGAACAATGACATTGGGGGTGAGTTGGGGGTTCACTGTAGGGTCTCTAGCAAGGTAGGGGTCTTTCAAAGCCCTAGTCTCACCTATCTGCACCTTATAGTCAATGTTTACCTCATGGGATGGCCGTGAAGATAAAGTAAGGGACTCAAAAGTCTTTAAAGCATCGCTTTGGGGTCTGTCATTTGAGATGCACCCCAACAGAACCTGTCAGGACTCCTAAATCCTGCAATCAGATATTAAAAATGAGGCTCAAACACCTCTCAGCTCAGGCTGCTACACATGGCTGTTTTTGTTTTGTTTCATTTTCACCTCCCAAGAATTGAAAAAACTTACTCTTTTTTAGGTGCTTTGTGTCCATTCATTCATTACCCTTCCCAATTGACATATGGCTCAGAGTGGCCAATTTACATCTCAAGTAAATGGGGGAGTCTGGATTTGAACCCAGGTCTGAGGGGGTGTCATCTTTTTTTTGTTTCTTTTGGCCACGCCTGTGCTGCATGCAGTACCTTAGTTCCCCGACCAGGGATTGAACCTGTGCTCCCTGCATTGGGAGCACAGAGTCTTAACCACTGGACCACCAGGGAAGTCCCATGAGGGGGTGTCATCTTGATCAGTCTTGGTGGGAGGAATGGGGTGGGGCTCCTGCCTGACTCCAGAGTCAGCGCTCCTGCAGCCTGGGTCTTTGAAGCCATCCAGCCACCTATTATTTCCGCCCCACTACTCCTCTTGCCAAGTCCCCTCCCTAGAGGTAACGCTGAAAGGTTTCTTAGCAACAATGTGCTTCTCCGTTCAACCTCTCCTGGGGGCTCAGAAAGGGCGGGCCAGTTGGGAACAGCTCAGATAGCAGCCTGGCCCCTCAGGTCCAGCTCTGGACCCCTCACTTCAAGAATTACTGAGAGGTCTGTCTAGTGGGATGCCTACCGTGTGCTATAAAACTATAGAACTAGAACTATGGAGGGGGAATAAAAAGGGAGATTGGGATTGACATATACACACTACTATATATAAAAGATAATGGAAACCTACTGTATAGCACAGAGAACTCTATTCAGTGCTCTGTAATGACCTATATGAGAATGGAGTCTAGAAGAGAGTGGATATATGTATATGTATGTATACCTGATTCACTTCGCTGTACCGGCAGAAAGTAACACAACGTTGTAAATCAACTATACTCCAATAAAAAATTAATTTAAAAAAAAAGCATTACTAGGAGGTGGATGTCAAAATCCTACTCATTCCTTCTTGGATGGGTTGGGGACCCACAGGCTGGTGCCTCAGAAACCAGGGGCAACAAAATCAACCTGGCTTCTTCTCTGGAGAAGAAAGCCTGCTAACCCTTCCGCAAACACCACCTTCTCTCCCCTCTCCTCTGCCTTCTGCCCAGAAGAAAAGAATTGAGGTGCAGGTGCTGTAGCAAGAAAGTTCCAAATCAGGCGAAGTTCCAAAAAGAAGCTGGCTGGGGGACTTCCCTGGTGGTCCAGTGGTTAGGACTCCACGCTTTCACTGCTGGGGCCCTGCGTTCCATCCCCCGTCTGGGAACTAAGATCCCGTGAGGTGCGGCCAAAAACAAAGCTGGCAGGATGAGACGGGAAAATGAAAAATACAGAGTTGCGAAATGAATCTATTTTTGACCGAAGCCCAGTGTCTCCTCTCTGGACTCAAGACTAAGAGCTTGAAGTTCAGTGTCTCCAAGTGACAAAGAACCACGGGACTTGGAAGCAGATCCACCCCCAGAAGATAAAATGCTGCTTACTGAGGCATGAGGAAAGTGATCATCCAGTGCTCTGAGAAATGGGCAACCAGCAGCTGAAAAGAGATGCATGGCTCACTCATCCTAAAGGATGAAAGGATCCCAGCCTGTGCTGGTGAATGTGGAACCACAGATGCTCAGCTGGTGGCAGTGAGGGTGATTGTAGTGTCTGCCAATTTCCATGGTGTAAATACGTCCACGACAACCAATTACAAGTTATCACTGTGAAGTTACTGAGCTATAGGCAGAGTCAGCTCTCCAGAGCCAGTACCTCTGGAACAGACCACTTTCCCCCTATAAGACGACTCCAAGGTGGGAAACAACAGGATTATCCAGGAGGAGACCTGCTGGGAGCCAGTTGTACCAGATGACTCAGGTGAATACATTCTCCCATCAAATTCCTGTTCTCAGGAATTCCCTGGCAGTCCAGTGGTTAGGACTCTGCACTCTCACTGCCAGGGGCCCAGGTTCAATCCTTGGTCGGGGGACTAAGATCCTGCAAGCTGCGTGGCCAA